CCAACTTATCCAGCAAGTTTTTACGCAGCGGATGTCCTTCCCGCCGCAACCCATATCTGGTAAACATCCACACACACACATTCACACATAAACACACTCATACACTATGGACAATTTAGCCTACCCAATTCACCTGTGCAAATTCCACCCAGAAAGGCAAAACTAACCCGAGGTTCGAACCAGCGACCCAGCGACCTTATTGCTGTGAGGCGACAGCACTACCTACTGCACCACTGCTTCGGCAGTAAATAATATTTGACTAGATATTTTTTTTAAAACACTTCTAGACAGCTTAAAGTGACATTTAAAGGCTTAACTTGGTTAATTAGGTTAATTAAAGGCAGATTAGGGTAATTAGGCAAGTTATTGTATAATGATAGTTTGTTCTGTAGACCAGTGGTCCCCAACCTTTTTCTAACTGCGGACCGGTCAACACTTGATAATTTTGCTGCGGACTGGGGGAGGTTGAAATAATAATAATAATAATAATAATAATAATAATAATAATAATAATAATAAACGTGAATCCACTGTACTCATATGAAACTTTATTAGCACATTGCTCCAACATTACAATGCTATTATAACATTAGGAAGTAATAACTTTATTAACACATTGCTCCAACAATATAACATATTATATGGTCCCATCTGGAGGTAATGGCAGTCAAAAGCCCCTTTCACACATACAGACCTTTCTGGAAAATTACCGGCAATTTTCCGGAAAGGTGTGTATGTGTGAACAGGGCCTTTTTAAAAACAAAATTCGTATTTGGTAAATTCGTTCTGGCTATTTATTTTCCGGAAAGAGAAGTTGTAACATTACCGGTAATTTTGCTGAAATGCAGCGCTGTGTAAACGCAGAAAAAAAAAAAATTCACGGAAAGAGCGCGTACACGTCTAAAACGTGCTGATGTGAGACGTCTGCTTTAGCCAATCAGAACAGTCAGACACATTCACGCCCGCACGGTTTATGAGAATAAAAGCCTTTGAATATTTTTCCAGACACATTTAGGTGCTAGAAATTAGGCAGATAACGTTTATATGTTCATCTTAATGCCAACCGTGTAAATAATTATCGATAAGATGCTTATGATAAGCCGTTGTTTACCTTCAAGCTTTGTGTGTGCCCGTGAAAAAGCCCGTGAGCGGAGTACACACACACATATCATGCAAGTCCAATATGCCTCTGTTCACACGCCGTCCCTACAAATCCAGTTTGGCTTTAAATGCAGCTCCTTTATCTGCCAACTTAAAGATAATTAATTCTTGTGCAGCCCGGTACTGATTGACCCACAGACTGGTACTGGTAATAATTTTGACCATAAAATGGCTTTAAAAAAATGTAAACTTTTCATTCTAGCTGAAATAAAGCAAATAAGACTTTCTCCAGAAGAAAAAAAATATTCTTTAAAAAAGAAAAAAAAAAATCAAAGGTTGGCTAATAATTCTGAATTCAACTGTATATTTTATAATTTGTATTTTAGTACATTTAAAATGTATTAAGTTTAATAATTAGGTAAATAATTTAAGTAATAAGTCACTTTAAAAAAAAAAAAACATCTAGCAGCACATCAAAAGTGAATGTGTGATGAAATTAATTATGTGTGACAAAATATTATTAAATAGCACATTTTTATTAAATGTATACTTATTTTTTATTTGTTAATGGCAAACTTTGTGAAGAAAATGTAAAAGTACATGTACATGGTTTTGTTTCGATAATTAACAGAATGCAGATTTTCAAAAATATACACTGTAAAAAAAATCTGTAAAATAACAGTTAAATGACTGTATATTTTAACGGATTTTTTCCGTATACACGTATTACGGGTAATTTTCCGTTTATATACATTTTCGAATTGCATTATGGGAAGGGGATCGCAGCTCAGGCAGCGTTTGATGGACACCGGGCCATATTTCTTCCTCTGTTTTTTCCCTGGTAAGTACGATTAATAAAACATATAACAATATTTTAGTTAAAATACTGCTTTATTACATTTGTATCGTTATTTAAAATTATTTTTGTCTTGTCTGAAGCGGCCATGGAAAGTACAGCAGTGAATTACGTTTAATATTGTTAATAAGATCAGACTTTATATCATTAAGATCAAACTGAGCTATGAGTGGTTAAATGTAATTTAAACAAGCATTTATCTAATGAATTTTTACCTTTTTATGCGTTTTCCTCATCAGTAAATATGATATCTGTTCATTTACAGTTGTTTGTCCGTATTTTTCTAAACTGCCGTGCGCGGGAACTGATGTGACGTCCCAATCACCCACTCACTCCCTCTGCACCTGCGTGAGTCTGACTGGATTAACGGTAAAACGTCAGCTTGTCTGTGAGAGTGTAAAAGGTATGTTAATTATTTAATAGAAATATAAATGTTTTCTTTGTACAGTGCATTGAACAAGGGATAGCATTCAAAGTTTGTGACACTGTGTAGTTTGGTTGATATAGTGCTGAAGGTGTATATCGATGACTGGTTAACGTTACCTTTAATGAACCCTAACGTTAACGTGTTTTAAACGCTCGTAACACCTGACCGTCTGTGTTTGTTTGCATATTAATAACTAATTTCATATTTTTACTGACGTTATCAAATGTTAGCTTTGGTTTGACCGACGTATCAAGGCTGTGTGACCGAGATTCAGTGGAACAGCTTTGCTGGTTTTTAAGTATAAGTTAGACCCGCGTGAATTTGAGGCATTGTGTAAATCGGTATGAGGGGAAATACACACTCATAAAGTTATTATTATTGGTGGGCCCTTATCAGCATTAACGTGCTGCGTTAACGCGAGACTTTTATCGCGCGATAAAAAAAATATATCGCCGTTAATCTATTCTCAACGTTGGGTTTGGAGCTGGGTGACTTTCATACTTTGGTAGTTTAGCGCGGATGTATACCTGACCGGTGAGCCGTCTGACAAACAAGTGCCCCTCTGAATCAAATCAGCAGGATGCCTGACTTTAACTGCAGTTCGGCAGTTTCACTTTAACTCATGAACATTCATTCATCCCGCGTGACAAACTGGGGTATTAGACGCAAATAAGAAGGAAGAACTGATGAGAGTGTTATGGAATTTAATAACGCTCGCCAAATGGAACGAAAAAAAAGCTTCCGCATTTCGCGACGTGTGTTTGTGTGTACAGAGATAACAGAGTGATACAGTAAGTGTGTGACATTTAAAATTTTATATAGTGTTTACACTGTCATGCGTTTTAGGCCTCAAATACAACGTGTACCTTAAAGCACACAATTAAATGTTTGTTGTAGTCGAGTTGAACTGTCATGGATATTATACTTATGAACGTCTTGTCAACTTGCAGATTTAGCCAAGTTCACTTTTAAGAACCTCAACAGCTGCTATTATGAAGATATAAAGATGAGCTGTTCTTCAAAAGTCTTAAAATTCTTCAGACTAACTGTCAGTTAGAATCATTATAGCAAATAATAATTTCATTACTATTAGGAGATCAGGAGTTTTATTTTAATGAAGCCTTGATAATAGAGTCAACTACACATGGTGTTATCACAAGTGAAATCTTTTTATGTAGATTTTGAGTCTGAGTGTTTTGCACATATAATGTTCACTGATATTTTGTTTTGTTGACTTCCAGGTTCTTTCATTTTGGTTATAAGTACATGGTACAGGTAAATTCTTAGATTCAATCCAAACTGAATTTGAATTGATATGGACAAATGAAATAAAATACACATGGGATTTTAAATGTTTTCATTTTTTTATTATTCACGACGTTTGTGAAGTTTAAATGTATACTGTCTCAAACTGAATGTGTTATTTTTGTTGTAGGTGTGTTGGTGTAAAAATTGATGCTGACTGGTTAGTACTGCATTTTTAACCATAAAAATAATGATTTATATTTAGCGTTGCCTAAAGGACCTTCTGTACTTTATACAGGAGATGACAGTAAACTTTCAAGTTTAAGAGGTAAAATGTTCAGGGTTTTTCTGTTTGATTTTGAGTGTTTTGTAGATATAAGGTTCACTGATATAGGATATAAGATTTGCTGTATGTTTATGCTGTCATTTTGGTTATAAGTACAAGGTACATGTACATTTTCACAGCAATCTAAATTAAAATCTTAAATTCAATCCAAACTGAATTTGAATTAATATGGACAGATTAAATAAAATACACCTGGGATTTTAAATGTTTTCATATTTTTATTTACAAAGTTTGTAAAATTTAAAAGTAGACTATATGCTGCATGTTTCAAACTGAATGAGTGTTATTTTTGTTGTAGGTGTGTTGGTGTAAAAAGTGATGCTGACTGGTCAGTACTGCATTTTTTAACCAAAAAAATAAACAATGATTTATATTTAGCATTGCATCTATTGTAATTTTACCAAGAATGTGTTTGCTCTTTCAGAACTCAGGCAGTTGTGCTGGACCTTCTGTACCTTATACAGGAGATGACGGTAAACTTTGAAGTTTAAGAGGTAAAATGTTCAGCGTTTTTTCTGTTTGATTTTGAGTGTTTTGTGTATATATAAGGTTCACTGATATTTTGCTTTATTCACTTCCAGGTTCTGTCATTTTGGTTATAAGTACAAGGTACAGGTACATTTTCACAGCAATCTAAATAAAAATCTTAAATCTTACGTTCAATCCAAACTAAATTTCAATTCATATAGACAAATTAAATAAAATACACCTGGGGTTTTAAATGTTTTCATTTTTTTATTATTCACAAAGTTTGTAAAGTATAACAGTAGACTACATGTTGCATGTTTCAAACTGAATGAGTGTTATTTTTGTTGTAGGTGTGTTGGTGTAGAAATTGATGCTGACTGGTCAGTACTGCATTTTTATAAATAATACAAAAAAATATGTGTTTGCTCTTTCAGAACTCAGGCAGTTGTGCTGGACCATCTGTACTTCATACAGGGGATGACAGTAAACTGCAAAGTTTAAGAGGTAAAATGTTCAGGGTTTTTGTTTGATATTAGTGCTTTTATTTTTATTATTTGGCAAAACCAATTACCTGTACCTATATTTTTACTAAGTGTTTACATGAACACATTTTGCTTCAGTAATTTTGAAATTTTGTTAACATGTATTCAAACTAAAAGTACTGGGTTGATGTGGGTGTTTTATCTGGGGGTTTTTAAGCTGCAACTGTAATCTGTTAAATGAACAAAGCAGTTATTTATTATTATTATTTATTTTTACAACATTTAAAATGTTACAAGTTCTTTATTTTGGTTATGTCTGTTTAAAATGATAAGGAAATAACTGGTCCACTGCTGAATCTCTTTTCTTTTCTCTCTTAGCCACCTGATGATGAGAAAGACATTATCAATGTAGGCATCTTGATGGTGAGCCAGGCCTTCATGCTGATTTTGTGACTGTTTAATCTATTTATCGTGATTGTAATAAATTTTTTTCAGGATGCAAAACTGGCTAAAAATCTACTTTAAATTTTAACATTAATTGTATGATAGTGTGGTTGATTTAACATTTTATTTAATGTTGGGTTCATTGTAAAAAATGATTTAATTTTGGTTGAATAAATGCTGGTTTTGGGACAGTTTTGTCTATTTATCATCATAGAATTAACATTATTTCAGGGTGGAAAACTGCCTAAAAATCAGTGATGACTTTTAACATTGTTTCAATGATAGTTTGATTGATGTTTTAACATTTCAATGTTAATTTAACTTAGGTCTGCTATCTGGAAAAGAACTCATTTTTAAAAATGCAAAAAACTTATGAATGTGCCACTTGAATTTGGTATCACATGTAATTGGCATGTTATGGAATTTAACTATGGCAAATAAGTGAGAGGAGATGGAAAGCTATGATGTCTACACGTTTTCCTGAAACATTTGCAAGGTCAATTCTTTCTTGCATAAAGATAGTGGAAAAGAAGAAAAAGTATAACAAAATGGTTTTTTGTTCTTTTTATTTTGTTTTCTTTCCTTTATTGTTGTTTTTTGCCTTATTTTTGTTTCTGCACTATATTTATTTCTTGTAATATTTGATTAAGTAAATAATTTAAAAAAAATTTCTTTTAAATTATGTAGCAGACATGTATTTTAATAATTTTACATAATAATTATATTATTTATAATATTATTAATAATATTAATAATTTAACATATAGGTGTGCATATATGTACCCATATATGTACATATAATATAGGAAAACAGCCAATTTTATATGTGTCACATATATCAAAAACCTATATTAAACCATATGTTTATATAGGTTCTTTCCATGTAGGCGTGTACCAGACCCAACTCACAACTCACTTTTCTTTTCTTTTTTTCAGAAGAAGAGTCCACAGCCACAATAACAAGATCATTGAGCTGTCCCCTAATTGTGGTCAGCTACATGTTTAGTCTCTTATGTGCTAAACATTATGTAGCCTAAGGAAGCAGCCCTGACTCTGTAGTTTATATGAAGGTATGTTTTTACATTTTTAAGTTTATTTCATTTTTACAAGATAAGTAAGGTGATACATGTTTGTTGTATTTACAACAGGAGCATGCTGAGTAACTATCCAGAAAGTAGGTCCAAAGCTGAAAAAAGGGCACCAAGCAGAAACATACCATCTAAACTCCTTCGATTCCTGTCAGACCAGAAAGACTTTCAGAATCCTTGGAAGATTTAAAGGTAATTAAGCACACCGATAACACTTTATAATAACTAAACACTATTGATTAATTTATTAAGCATTAGCAAAAAGTTCTGTTAAGCATTGACTCTACATTAATAGACCTTAGTATACAGTTTATAACTACAGCTGCAAATGCTGTAATTTTGACTTATAAGCACATCTATAATGTGCTTAATTATTTTGTTTTCATATTTTGTTAATGATCAATTTTTCATTCTAAATTTAGTATCGCATTATTTACAAACCAGTGATTTAAGAATAGTGAATTTTTTTTTCTAATGGTGTATTTTTTTTCTAATCATTCAGAATGTTTAAGTAAATGGTTAATAAACTATTCAAACTAACATTTAAATATCTTATTATTCAGGCATATAGTAATAGTTGGGCAGCACAGGGGCTAGCACTGTCGCCTCACAGCAAGAAGGTCTCTGGTTCAAGTCTCAGTTGGTAATTCTGTATGGAGTTTGCATGTTTTCCCTGTGTTGCCGAGGGTTTCCTCCGGGTGCTCAGGTTTTCCCGACAGTCCAAAGACATGCGCTATAGGGAAATTGATTAACTAAATTGGCTGTAGTGTATGAGTGTGTTTGTAAATAAGTGTGTATGGGTGTTTCCAAGGGCGTACTCATGCTATGCAGAGTTACCTTGAAACTGGATGCGTGCTTGTCTCCCTGACGCTTACGTCATCGATAATGTGCTGTTCAGTTTAACAAGTGCTCTCACTCAGCACAGTGGAGATTTCTTTATATTGTTATATTGTTTTAGTTGTTTAAAATGCGGTGACACGCAGTCAAATATTTCGCCGAACAGATCAGCTACTTTTGACGCTCATAAACAATCAAAGTCATCGTGCTGCAGGTACTAGGAGGTTTGCTAAAGGTGCAGCTGTTGTGCAGTGAGGGGTTTGTGTCTTTTGTGACAGTTTGCAAGGGACGGTTTGATTTGGATAAATTAACCACTATTACTGTTCAATGAACGCAAACTGTCGTTAATTATTAAAGACGCAAACCCTTTACTGCACCACAGCTGCGCCCTTTAGCAAACCTCCTATTCCTGCAGCACAAGGAATTTATGAACATCAAAAGTGGCTGATCTGTTCGGCAAAATATTTGACTGCGTGTTACTGCATCCCAAACGACTAAAACAAAATAATTTAAGAATTCTCCACTGTGCTGAGAGAGAGCACTTTTTAAACTAAACGGGGCATCATCGATGATGTAAGAGTGCTCAGGCTCGAATGCAATGTGAGTGCGGGACGTCGGGGAGACGGTAGAGAGGACAAGCGTGCTTCGGCCTGGTTCAAGGCAACTGTACATAGTGCGAGCACACACTAAGCTGAAGGAAAATGCATGAATGAATAGTAATAGTTATACTTGTATATAAAGTATAAAAAAATAAGTATATAAAGTATATACAATACTTATTTTAATAAGTGCTTTTGTTAACTTCATCCAGTTTTGTAGCCTAAAGTGAGGATTGTTTATGCTTTGTAAATCCCCTTATAAATCACAATTAAAGGTTCAGTTATATTCTAAGAATGAAATTCATTTTATTGTATTAAATGAAAAATAAATCTTATCTAAAATAAAATTACTGTACAGTTTAAACCTAGCTAAATAACACTGAAATGTTGCATCGTAATGTATCATTAAATTATTTTATTGTTGTTTTATCCAGTTTTATCTTATGTTTTGGCACTCCTGCTATTCAGCAAGGTTTCATATTTACAGCAATTACATTTTTTAGATAAGACTGTAATGATTTATTGTTAATTTAATACTGAGCCTTTAACTGTCGTTTATAAGGATTTATAAATCATAAATAATCCTCACTTTAGATTAGGCCACCAAACTGGGAGAAGTTTTGTAAATAATGCAATATAATATATATATATATTTTTTATTATAAAAATAGTCATGTAAAATCAATCATTAAAGTTTGTTAACACAATTATTAAGCACATTATAAATGTGCTTAAGTCAAGATTACAGCATTTGTAGCTGTATTTAAAACCGACTACTAACATCTATTAATGTAGAGGCAATGATTAACAGAACTATTGACATGCAAGGAATCACCCCAGTTGTAAGTGAAAAGTCATTAGTAATATTTTTTTTTGTTTGTTTGTTTTACAGCCATTGAAGTATCAGTATTGGAGAGGAAGAAGACCCAGTTGTATCGTCTGTTTCCTGCCATCTTGCAGTTAACCTGGTTTCTTAATATAAAGTACTTGTAATTTGCCCACTTGCCCTTAATTATCTTAAAGCTAACATTTAAAACTAATTTGCTATGAGATTATTTGCCAAGACTTCTCACGGTGCGATTCACATGTCAATATGTATTATTGTGTGTATAACTAGCTATTTGGAATTCAAATGATTTGTATTCATTAAAGAATCTGTTTTAATTGCAAAGTTGTTTTTGTACTAATCATTGCAAGTTCACAGATAACAAACTATTTACTGCTTCTCTACACATACAGTATAGAATAAATGTTTTGTTTTACTATTGTAAACCATTAATAGTGTATTTCCCATATGTATATGTTTGTCCTTACCAATTGCCATTTCTATGCTGCTTGAAGAGCATTAAATTAGTAAAATAATTATTTTTTACAGTAGGTATCCCATTAAAACAAAGAATCTGTTCATTTTTTCACTGTAGGTATACTATTAAAACCCAAAAAAACTCCTCTTTTTACAGTAGGTATACTATTAAAATACAGAATCTGTCTGTTTTTTTACAGAAGGTATACTATTAAAACACAGAATCTGTCTGTTTTTTTACAGAAGGTATACTATTAAAACACAGAATATTTCCGCTTTTTTACTGTTGGTATACCCTTAAAAACACAGAAAATAACCGTTTTTTTATATAGAAAACCCTTAAATTACTATAAAATGGTTGGTTATTTTACAGTAGTTTAACTGTCAAAAAACGGATATATTTTAGTTTTTTTAATGTTGACACACTGTTAATTAACAGAAGTTTTCCGTTTTTAATTTACGGTGAAATATTTGTGTAATGAGCTGCCAGTACATTTTACCGTTTTTTTACGGAATTTTTTTTTAGAGTGTATGTAATAATTGGTAACACTAGATTAAAGAACAGAATCACTATAATAAGGGTTTTCCCTCTTTTATTGCTGCTTATTAATTGAAAAGTGTTTGTATGCGTTATATTTATGTGTAGTATGAAATTTATCTTTAATGTACCTTTAAAATATTACAGGTAATGTACTTTATAATTTACAGACATTGTGCGCAATATCCATGTGAATGTGTTTTCTAAAAATGTTGTGAAATTACCCTGAGGCATACAGTATCTTACTTGTTTGTACATATAGATGTCTTGAACCAGAGTTAAAGCAGAGCAGGACTTAATTATGTCCCTCAGGAATTGATTGAATTATTTGCATTATTTCTGTTTGCTGATGCTTAGATCTCAGATACAGGTTAATTCAGGTTCATTCATGTCTTTAGGGAAGAGAAGAGATGTCATTATAAATGTAATAGTGAGTTATGATTAAAGGATATGAGTGCACATAGAAAAATATGACGTTTATTATTCTTCGTACATCATCTACAATATTCCATGAATATAAGAATTGTCAGTTTTGATTTCATGGTGACTTTAAGATGTGAAGTGCACTAAAAGTTCACATTCACACGTATTGTCTCAAAGGAAGTTGTCTTTGTAGGCCACATTTCTCCTTTGCATTATGATGTGAATTGTACTAGGCTGATTTAATCAAAGCAACTCCAGCAAAACATCTGAAGAATAATTGTCTCGCAACACAAGGTCTCCATCTGAATTTGAGTGGCTGCGGCTTCTGTCTTAAATGAAAATATCTTGCTAACAGAACTCCAAGTTCTTAAAACATAAAGATAGGGTACACAAGTACACTCCAGGAATCAACATTAAACATGAAGTGTCATACCCATTTTATTCTCTTTGTGATAAGAATTTTTTGAAGTTCTTACTCTGGAGGCTCCAGTGGCTTTTCTGAATTTAGAAAGAAGTTTCTTTGTCGATGGGTGACTTTTCGTGTTTTTTACCCTTAACGAGCACATTGTTCCTTTACAAGCACATATCCCAGGCTCTATGACTTCATTGCTTAATTTGTTGATATCAACATTGTTTTATGCAACATTTGGGTTGCACTGGGTCTTCAGGGTTCCCATGTTTCATGGAATTTCAGCAATACACTCACTGGCCACTTACAGCTACACTTACTAGTACTGGGTTGGACCCTCTTTTGCCTCCAGAACTGCCTTAATCCTACGTGGCATAGATCCTACAAGGTACTGGACATATTCCTCAGAGATTTAGCTCCATATTAAAATGATAGCATCACATAGTTGCTGCAGATTTGTTGGCTGCACATCCATGATGTGAATCTCTTGTTTTACCATATCCTTAAGGTGCTCTATTGGATTGAGATCTTGTGACTGTGGAGGCCATTTGAGTACAGTAAACTCATTGTCATTTTCAAGAAACCAGTCTGAGATGATTCACGCTTTGAGACATGGTGCATTATCCTGCTGGAAGTAGCTATCAGAAAATGGGTACACTGTGGTCATAAAGGGATGGACATGGTCAGCAACAATAATTGGGTAGGCTGTAGCACTGACACAATGCTCAGTTGGTACTAATGGGCCCAAAGTGTGCCAAAAAAAAAAAAAAATCCCCCACACCATTACACCATCACCAACGGCCTGAATCATTGATACAAGGCAGGATAAATCCATGCTTTCATGTTGGTGATGCCAAATTTTGACCCTACCATTTGATTGTTGCAGCAGAAATCAAGACTCATCTGACCAGGCAACGTTTTTCCTATCTTTTATTATCCAATTTTGGTAAACCTATGCCAATTATAGCCTGTTTCCTGTGCTTAGCTGACAGTAGTGGCACCCGGTGTTGTCTTCTGCTGCTGTAGCCCATCTGCCTCAAGGTTGGACGTGTTGTGCATTCAGAGATGCTCTTCTGCAAACATTGGTTAAAACGAGTGGTTATTTGAGTTATTGTTGCCTTTCTATCTGCTTGAACAAGTCTGGCCATTCTCCTCTGACCTCTGGCATCAACAAGGTATTTGTGCCCACAGTACTCCCTGTTCTTGAACATTGATGTTGTTGAAGCCAGAAAAGGATTTAAACTATGCCACTTAAAATCTCTGGTGTGAAGAGGATTAAATGCATAACATAGTGTTCTCCTGTTGTGATTTTAACAAAAACCCATAGCGTTTGTCGTGTATTTTTATGTTTTTAAGAGCAGAAATTGCTGCTCATTATCTCATTTTCTGTTCATTTGTAAATTATGTGAGCTTAATTTCACAGTAGATTCCCATAGACCTCAATCACTTCAAAGAGAAATCAGGACAGAAGTCAAAATTTGACAAAGGAGACATGATGAAGCTGCTGCTTTAAAAATTAGCCTTGCAATCTACGCATCACTCAGTAAACATCCTTTTGTTCTTTTCAAGAGAACATTGTGTGTTTTATTTTCTGCATGATACCTGTTTATAAGAATTGGACATATCAAGTTTATTTTGTCTAAATTACGTCTTTTCTAAGAATTGAGTTTTTTTCCAAACAATGAACACATTAAGACATTGTAAAATCAGAAAAATCATGTTACTCGCTTCGGTCATCTTGTGGTAAATTAAATTTTCACATATTTCTTTAATACAGAACTGTTTATGGAATTTATCCTAAAAATATAGATTTATGTAAGATATAAATGATATAAGATTGTGTAAACTGAATGAAAACTTTTTTTCTGATATGTATGTTTTACTCAAATCGTATTTTAAGTTAGGTGTTAATGCTTTCTTTTTTAAGCGGCTTATGTAAAGAACTTTAGCAATCAGTAAGTATAATCTACAACAGTTCTATCAACTGTATCAAGTATAATCGATAACTTCTTTAGCAGTGGGTATATCTATTTGTAAATTTCTTACATTCATCTGAAAATATTGTTCAAATGTACTGCCAAATGTATAACAATCTTTTAAGTTTTACTAAAGTCAGTAAGTTATTAAACCTCCATGTATTTAAATGATTTTGCTATTACGCTACTGTAACAATGGTGTTGCAATTTAGCACATTTAAATAATCAATATACTATCATTTTAGTATTGAATGACTACAGTTGAAATTATAAACAAGTTCTTTGCATGTGCTTTAGTATTTTTAATTAGGTATTGCTGTAGACCAGAGAACTTTTAAGTGGGAGGGAGTTACACCACAAATAGGTTTAAGTTTAGGGTTGTGATATGCACTATAAAAAATGCTGAGTTATTTCAACCCAAATGTGAGTGTAATAGGAACTAACTAACTGCTGAGTTTTTTTTTTTTTTTTTTTTTCAATAACCCTGCATTTTTTTTTAGTCTAGCAGTAGACGTTATTAAAACACAACAGATCACTGTAAGGTAGTGCTTAGGCCCCATTCACACGGGGCGTCAGCGTCAACGCTTCCCATTCACTTTGAATGGGTGACGTCAGACGTTGCCGAACTGCATTGTGGATCTGTCTGCGCCGCTTCAGAAGCGCTGCTCTCAGCAGATGTTGGGATTAGCTCAACTTTTCAAGCACCGACGGAAGCGTCAGCCAATCAGATCGCTGTATGCAAATACACCAGCTAGACAGTGGCCTATTGCTGACTAAATTTCATTGGCTGACGCTGCTATGACGATCACTTCAGCCCCAACTTCTGACACGCCTTCAGTCAAGCGTTGACTCTGAAGCCCCGTGTGGGGCGTTAAGGTTGAGGTAGATGTAGACATTAACAAAACTGTGAGGTTAGGTTTAGGGTTGGGGTAGGTGTAGAGGTTAATAAAACATAAAAGGTTACTGTGAGGTTGAGTTTAGGATTGGGGTAAGTGTAGGTGTAGACGTTAATAAAACACAACAGATTACTGTGAGGTTGGGGCAGGTATAGACATTAAAAAAAGACAACAGGTTACTGCAAGGTTGGGTTTAGGGTCAATTTAGACATTAATAAAACAATAGATTGGACTCCACAAGACATTAAATAATTCAATGAAAACTCCATGAGGTTTGTACAGCCCACTTGGAGCTCAAGTCCCACCCACTTGGGAGTTAGCTTTGACCTCCATCTATACCATCTCAGTATTTTTGCCAACATTAAAATATAAGTGTACATCTTTGAATCATTACAGACATTATAAATACTGACAGTATTGCGAGTGTCATTTTGAATATTTAAATAAATTCCTACATGCTTATAAGTAAAGTACAAATGCACATTTAATAAAATCGAGCACACATTTTTTTTTTACAAGGAAGGGCTTGCTTCAAAATGTAATAAAATTACACTTGTTAGTATAAATGGCTAAGAGTCTGCTTTAGTGCTTTTTGCAAATCAGATTGCATTACTTCTTTGAGGAGATGAGACAGCACCTTCCATTGTAATTCTATTACCAGCAATGTACACATCCTCCATTGCCCTATGGCACATTGTGCATTTTTCATCTTCACATCTGCCACTGCTTTTCCTTTCCTCGTCTGCTCTCTCTCATTCTATACCTCTACAAGAGTGTCCCTTCTTTTTCTTTCACTTTAATTCTCCTTCTTTTTTCCCTTCTTCTCTCTGTCTCTGCAGTCTCATGTCCTCGCGGC